ATATAATCTATATTCTCCATTATAGAACAGCTGAGTCCCCTTACAAGAAAGAATCCATTCCAATATGATTTTTTTAAACCTAATGCATACAAGAGTACCATGTGAACCTTTCTTCTGCAAAAGGCAAAGCAGATTTTTAATGCGCAAATAATCAGGCAAAAATTATTGCAAAAAAATCATGAAATGAAAACATGAGTGAAACTTAAAGGATGATTCTGTGCAGAACAATTATAATGAAATCATTTATTGAGTTAGGTTTCCTCTTATTAGAAATATTTTTAGTTTTTTCAATTACTTGTTAATGAACATTTGAAATGGATTTTGTAGCCAGCAAAAATGGGGTGGGATGGTCTCACACAGGAACAGGCTTTGGTGGCAATTTTCACACAAAAGGATCAATAAAGTTTCTGTCATGAAATTCTTCATTGAGAGTGATTTCTGGTAATTCAGTAAATACAGTCTCATATACAGTATGTTCAAATGTCATTCTGGTATTTAAAAATGATCTGGTTTGAGTTATGCTGATTTGGAATGGATTTGATGTGCTTCAGACACTCACAAAACATCATTAGACCTTGAAATCTGCATTAGGTTTTTAGTGAAGTGTGTTGTGAGCATACATTTTTTCTATTACAGTACTTAAAATTTTGAGTTATCAATGTTCTGCAATGCAGACATTTCTGGGCTATTATATTAACTACAGTTAACCCCCATGCAAGAGGATTTTTGCAAAACACAGACTGCCTCTGGAGGCAGTTTTCCCTACAAACAGAATAAATCAACATGACAGTCTTCTGTTGGTTTGAAATTAATGGTGAAAAGTGTAAAAATTCTAATTTTCTAACAATTGAATTTGCTTAATAGACATTTCACACAACAGACTAGTCTGTTGCACAAATTAAGTCTGTTGTGCAGGTGTTGACTGTATACATTCATGAAAGGTACCCTTATTTTCCATTTCACAAAAATCTTTGTCCTGATTTTAAAAATCCAAAGTTTCAAATCCGGACTTCAAGTTATTCTAGCATTTTCCACATAGATTTGTGTAGCTTGAAAACAATTAAGTATATGCGAGTTTCTTTTTTTCCCCCAATACACAAAAATTCTTGTATGCCAAGTTCCTATTCTGTTGAGCAGCTACGATTAAAATCTATTGCAGTATTCTTCGATGGTTGGCTTGAGTAAATTTTAAATATGCACTAGCATCATATAATGTATGTTGAAATCCAGCATGAATAACTGCTGGGAATAAAATGAAAAATGTTTCCGACAGGTCGGGAAACTGAAACGGATGACGGGAGGAACATTATTCCACTTATTCGGCATTCCACTGAGTCTCGTCGGAATCATCTACTTGATCCTGTCATGGGTGAGGAAACCCCTCAATTTTTATTCGAACCCAGCATCACGACGACAATAACCATCACGAAAACTTTCCAGATCATGTTTGCTTCCGCCGTAACGTTCGTGGTGTAAGCAACGACTTCCCTGATGCACATCCTTGTTTCCTTTTCTTAAACAAAAGATATACTGTATAACTCTTTGTCCTGAATTCTATTTTTGTCCATTTTTATGGTTCAAAGATTGTGGAGACAGCCGTGATGCTGCCGATCGTGGGACTTGTTCTTTTGTATTTCGGGCTCGTGTTCGAGTTCTCAGCCATGGGTTGCAGACAGAAACGGTGTTCAGAGTGCAAACAAAGCTTTCCGATGATGTTTGCGACTTTCGACGAAAATTGCGAATTTTGTGAGGTGAGAGAATAGTTTTCTGCAAAATTTTGACTCTTTATTCAGAGCTGGAGCGCAAGAGAAATTCCCGTAATTTTGTTCGTGTACCGCCGCATCCCGCATTTGCTTCAAAATTGATCTATATAGTTTCTTGGAAACATCAGTCAGTATTTTTCCATTAATTTGCTCATGTTGTAAAAAGTCCTGCATTTTTCATAAGCTAGTTGGAAAGCACAAAAATGTAAATGCATCGTCTGAAAAAGAGATTGAAGTATGCTCGAGATGAAGGTTGTATTTTCGTATCTTCGTTAATTTTCGGAAAACTTCCATTGCTTTACTCGCGCCGTAACTTTTTTGTCCGGGGTTTCATCGGAAAACTCTGAATAGATTCAAGCTGCTCAGTATTTTCGAAAGACCTCATCGATATACGGTAAAACCCGCAACTTTTTCACTGGGTGATGAGAATTTATTTCTATTTACTTGAAAATCATCGTCATATGACCTTGGGTTCAAGAAGAGCAGCATATGGTTTGTGAATCCAAATTTCCTGGAGCGTATTGTAATCGAAGTCTCGAGAGTACGCGCGTGAGATGTGTTCCTTCACGCGGAATCTTAATAAATTATAATTCAAGGAGAGAATTTTGGAATCCAATGCTGATCCAATCGAATCAAATCAAAAAAGGATTTCACGCATGATTTCCAGAAAACCCGAAAGACGATTTATTGTTCGTAAAGCCTTCATCGTTGGTTGAATAGAGCGGAAATAATGTTATCAACTTGTTTTCCGTGGACGACTCGTCGCTTCGATTATTGCAGTCTTTTCAGTTCATCATCATTGCACAGAATTTTCTGAAATTTGAAAACAGATTTTTCTTCCAGGATGGCGTTCTGGCCACGGAATCGACACCATTGATGTGTATTTTCTTCGGATTTCTCACGCTTCCTATGTGTTGCTTCGGATTATTCTGCTTCAACACGAAGAAGAAATGCTACGACTGTTCAGCGAAGCATCAACCAGGGATGCCGAAGATCATTTGATGGCATCGGCGTTGCACGTACACAGTTCAAAACGATAATTTTTACCGTGTTCGAAAGTTTGTGATTTATGAATCGTGGGTTGACTTATGCACATGTATTGATAAATGAAATGCACATTTTTGTATGATTTTTGGAAAAAATTGACGAGAAATATCCAGGCAGTTCGCTCTGAATGTATCTCTCCTACAGAAAACGTTGAGTTTGTTTATTTCATTTCATAGATGTCACTAGCTCTTCAAGATGTAGGACAACAAAGTGAAATGGCGTTTATCACCCTGAATTTTTGTTCGAATTTTTGTTCGATAAAATTGAAACTGTCGATGAATTCTTAGAAATAATTTTAATTATTTAGGCCTTTGAAATCTCCCCATAGAAGAATGCATATATGCAGCGAAGAATAGTGGTGATATTGCATTTCGGAAAAATTTGAAATTATCCCTGAAATTCCTAAAGGTTCATCACATTTCATGCGTAAAATCTGACCCTGCGGAATTAATGCATACTTTGGAAAAATAAATTGCGTCCTGTTCGTTTTATCAATCATCTCCATGCTTCGACACAGATGCTGTGGGGAAGACCTTGTTTTATCAGAAGCATATCGTGATGCTGGGGGCATGTATAAGAAGCCATGCAAATCATGAGCACACAGCTGATGCACATGAGTATAATCCATTCTGATGCGTCGCTCTCTTGTACTGCATGTTATCTTTGAGAGATGACGCTGTAAGCGCCTGGTACTGCAACCCGTACGAGATTTCAAGGTCACTGTGGTCCTGACTCATACATGAACATCAGACATCACTTGCGCATGATCATGAATTCGTGACAAAACGAATTTTTACCTCAATATAGCCCTGAATTTGTGTAAAAATTATTAGTGATCATCTTTCGAACCGGTTTTGACTGCATGCGCGATATCCAGCAGCTGTTCTTCCGCCAATTCAACATTCCGGCTTCATAACCGGATTTCGGTGGTGCGTACTTATTGTTGGGGATTTGTAAGTGGATGTCAGCAGCCGAAGTCCGACGATATTCAAGTTGTTCTTCACAAACGGCTTATATTTCGAACACTGTCTGGCGACTTCAATGCTGCGCTGCATGAGTATAACAATACAGTGATAGGGTACCTGGAGGCGACGTGATCTAGTTCTGACAAGGAATTATATTCCACGCATGCCAGATATTGCGTGAATTGAATTTGATGCTGAAATTGAAATGGAAATAACTTACATTCAAGTGCTGTGAAACTCTTTCATCTGTTTAACTTGACTTGAAATGCATCATAAGTTTCATGATTGACGTGGATGTAGGTTAGTAGAGCTCGTCTTCATTATGTTCTTGAAGAGTTCATTGATTCATGGCGAGTTCCTTGTATTGGATGAGTTCAGGCCAATGGATGAGTTCGTTGTGCCGGTGAAAACGTTGCATTTTCGTAATCGTTACAGTGGACGAATCAACACAGCTTCAATGATTGGACGTGATCCAATTAGGGTGAACATTATGACACTTTTCTAACGCTTTATTTTGTGCGATCGCGGAGAATTTCAATTTTCATAGGAAACGTCCGACTGATTATAGCGTGTGCGGTAATTGTCCTCGATTTCTTCGATGATCTTCTCGTGATTTTGCCATCAGGTTAAATCGGTGCATCGATTGAATACAATCTACTGTATAAGTTCGATTTTTCATTACTCGGAGTGAAATAGAGCGCGATCTTTATTGGTGAATCATATCTGCTGTACGTTCACGAAGTGGAACGCAACATTAACCGGTGAGTTTAAACGAAGGAATTCACTTTCTGAACACGGATCGAGAAAACTATTCCTTCATTTTAATGTGAATAAAAAAATACTGAAAACGAATAACTTCGAAGAACGATACACGGAATAACGACGAAATGGTGAGTGAAGCTTACTCCTTGATGTTGTTATGCCAACCGCCGGTGGACGTGATGGATGGAGGAGGTGGGAGCATTGTCACCAAAGAGCTCATCGGTGCTTCTCTGCCCTGAGTTGAAAAAGAGGTTCTCCGATAAAATGAATTCATTGACATTATTGACTGAAGATGCTTACGGCATCCATTTGCTGCATCGTGGTGATTTCTACAGCTGAGGCCTCTTCGAATGGTAAACTAGCGTCAAGCAGATTTGCCCGATTACCGCTTACAGTTTCCATGGCGTCGCAGTAAACTGAAAATCACCTGGAGTTATGAAAGCGAATTTTGCATAACTTCGCGATAGTTTTCTTACGACTGCGGAGAAACCAGAAGGTCATTTCTCCACTTCGTTTACATTCTTCGCTCAAGTTCTTCTTGATGTTCGGCAAGCTGTACGGGTAGCAAAACGCGGCCAT